GTATAGTAGAAAGTGATTAGAGATAGATTTCTGTAGTTTTCCTGGAGTTTTTGACACTTTTCCAATCGTACCCTTACTGAGACCATGTAACTTCTGAGTGATGCTCCTCATTCTTTCAGATCTGATTTCAACATGAAATTCGTCGCGGAATCGTTTGTTAAATACGGCTGGGTAATGATTGACGGAGTGGAGGCGAACGCTCAAGCTACAGAAGAACTTTGTCGTCGGGTAGCGCCAATTCATGACACCTTCTTTGGTGCGTTCTGGGTGTTCAGCAATCAGGCACAGGAAAAGGGGGTCTGTTAAGCTATAGTGAGCCTAAAATGAGTCCACATGGTTTTATGTGAATATTCTCAGGAAGAATATCACGAAGATACAGCGTACGGTAGCGATACCATTGGACCACACACAGATGGCACCTACTTCAATCAAACACCCGGAATTCAGGTATGAGAGTTGATGGCAAAAATCCTATTCTCTGTCTATGGTAGGAGGGATGATGTGCCTTTAGATCTCAAGCATCAGATCTTAAACAGTTTTTAAAAGTATCTTATTTTACATTCCAACAACGCAATGGTCCTTGAAGGTATCGGCCTACGTGAATAGCATTCTCCTTGTATAGAATATGTCAAAGCTTGGAGCAACCTTAGAGCTTCTCCTGGATTATGCTGCATGAAAAAAGACATTGTTAGTCTTGCAGCGCGAAAGAAGCGTCATCTTTAGAATAGCCCTTTAAATATGCGTAAATCTCATGCAATCTTCCAATGGTCCATCTTCTGCTAGGGCTTATCAAATGAGATAAGGCAGTTTCTGAAGGAACATGCTACGGCTTCCTTGGTGTGAATTATCATGAAAAAGAAAGTATGAAAGTATGAAAAAAAGAAGATTTCGTCGACTAGTAATGGGTGTTAATTGCTATAAACCTTTTGAAGCACATCACGATAGTTGTAGGACCGGTGCATGTTCTCATTAGTTGGCACCTCTACTTGTTACTGTGAGCTCTGCTCCTAAGGCCGATGTCAGACTTTGCGAATCGCGCGATTCGCTAGCGTCTGCGGTCGCGTCGCGGCCAGTGAATCACTCAATTGGCTGGTACCGCAACGCGACCGCGGACGCTAGCGAATCGCGCGATTCGCAAAGTCTGACATCGGCCTAAGCTGTAAAGAAAAGGGTCGACCTCTATCAAACCCTTTTTCAAGTTACTATAACCCATACCTAAGCAGTCATAGACGTGCCTGTAACAAATAGTGCCACAGAGCAGCTTCTGGAATGACGCGATCAAACCCATTCGCTTCAGCGTCAATCTCCGTTTATCGAATTACAACCATGGGACCATATTTGTGAAAGTAATCAAGAAAGACCCTAAGTGGGGTACGGCCACGATCCGTGACAGAGAAAGTGCGACGGAACTGAAAAAGAGGACTGCGACCGCGCGGCTCAAACTCTCGAGAGAAAAGAAAAGAAGTCCACATTCGCACATATCACGCGTGCGACTCGCCCTGACTCTACCTTCTTGCCGCGCGAGCGGGCCTCGCCTGTCAGGTACACGATGTACGGTTAGCAAATCTTCAACGCTTTTCTGCAAGTTTCACCCTTTCGCGTTCAGGCTCTACCACGAAATGTACACCTTCAACCTTCCGCCGACGTAGATAATAACAGGCTGTATGAAGGTGTGTATTAGGACGAGAGAACTAATTTACAGGGGTACGAGGGAGAAATCGTGTTTTAACTCCGAACTTCACCATAGTGAGTGTCTCTGGGCCAATGTGGCTGTCACATTTCGTGCGCTATTTCGCGGCTGAGCAGCGCAGCCTTGGCCAAGAGGACAAGTTTTCCGGAAAAGCTCTGCGTGATTGCCTCGAAACTGGTCGTCTGAAATTGGAAATTGCAGACTCAAAAAGTTGCTTATAAGTAAAACGATCGATAAAATAGTTCGTTGTAGACTTTCATGGGTGAAGCTTTTTTAGGCATATGTCATGCCTGTATTCTCTGTTTAATGACTGCTCATGATTCACGATTCATACTTTTGTATCCTGCACAAAATCATACAAAAATTGCGTTCGTGAAGCGAGAAAAAGCGAAATTTTGTGACCACCCTCTAGCGTCAAGATCACAAGCGGGCGGAAGTGGTGTAGTGACAAGTGGCGCGCTCACCACGCGAGCGGTCCGGGATCAAATCCTGGGTCGTGAGTCGCCCGGGCCAACCAAGCCTTCCATCCCTCCGGGGTCGGTTAATTGGTACCAGACTTGTCTGGGAGGATAAAAACACTGACTTGAACATCGGCTGGCCCCCGCAAGTCATTGTATAGGCCACATCGCATTCAAACGCCACTGCGAATGTACAAATGGAAGTAGAATGCGTGCCGCATCCCAAAACGGATTGATCCACGGCAAATGCTTTTATCCTTTTATTCTCTGTCTGGTCAATCGGTACAAGTCAATAGGTACGGAGACGTTGCAAAGGAATCGCTTGATTATTGGATCGCCCGAATCGCAAGTTGCTCACACGAGTCCAGCCCCTTCACAGACATCCCAAAATTCTGGGAACGACTCACAATGAGCTCGCCAATATCACTCGGTCTTCTACTTGTACCCAGAAAATACGGTATCAGTTAGAATGTTTTGCGGGCTGTTATGATGACGGGGCTTGGTTCAGGTTTTTCACTGTCTTCATGCGGCTGAACAAGGTGGTGACACCGTACTGGTCGATGGTTTTGAGTGTGCAACACAACTGCGGAACCAAAATCCAGACGCCTTTAAGCTGCTCTCAGAGAGAAGGGTACGTTTTCTTTCGATTGCTTCCCAAAAAGACCTTGGGAAAGAATTTCTGTGGGATCGACTCGAAGCGCTTACTGCCCTTTCAACACAAGGACATCGATTTGCTAAGTATAGACTGCCATTATCGCTCTGTCAAGTTTTTGTCCCATTACCGCAAGGTACATCTTGCAGACCTTTGGTTTTGCATTGGATTCTCCGAAGTGGTTTTTACCCCTTGGACTTTCCCGTTCACGTGAACAGATCTTCTCTCAATGTGTACACAATTAATGTATGCTCTCGCTCCATGCAAAAAGGGCCATTATTCCCCAAACGATCTTGCCCGACTAGTGGCGCGGGATTTGTCGAAGAGGGGGCTGACAGGGAAATGAGGGGTTTGCGGCTGACTTTGGCATGGTCTATCCCCTTAAGTTATGCTGACCACCGAATGGGTTCATGAAGTCTTGAGTCATATTTTGAAACTTTTTAGGGTTCAGAAAAGACGGCCAAAACGATATCGGTGCATATTTCAGATAGAACATCATTACATTGAAAGCGGAGCTGGAAATGAGCCTCTATACTCGACGTCAAGAGAAAAACCCGTAATCGAACTCGGATTCGTGGGGCAATATTGTTCAAATCAGGTGAAAAATCGAATCGTATACGAACTTTGTGGCCATCCAAACCTGTCAGCCGGCATGCACGTAAGCCAAGTTTTCTTTACCTGGTACAGATTAGTTTCCTGTGGCAGGCCATTTCAAAATGGTGCGCAGGTTACGGAAAGCATTAGATGTTATCAACAGTTGTAATATCGGCTTATATGCGACATTCGCCCTCTCACAGTGAAAGCGGCTGTTGTCATTGGGTGAATAGTTCCAGTGCAAAGCGTGGAACTTAAATGTGATAAGCTCATACACTGTGATGGGAAGGGGTGATATAAGGTGATAGCAGTTGATAAAGACTGATAAGGTACATTCGCCAGGATGAGAAGACGAAAAGCCTCCTACGCGTCGGTTATGTCTTGCAAGTATAAATAGTAAAGGCTGAATGCAAGCTCAAATACCATTGCTACTTTTCTTTGTAGAGTCGGATGCATGGCGCATCTTAGAGAAGATGTGATGGGAGCCGAGTGCTTTTTTTGTCATAGTAGGCGCTCAACTCCATAGTTTTTGAGGTCTTGAGTACTATATTTTGGTCATTTCGCTGTGCTTTTTAATTCTTGTTTTTTTTTCCAATCAAGGTGACACTGACCTGTAGAATGGGCACTGAAATAGTGGCCATTATTGTGGAGAGATTATTATAAAAATAAAGGGCAAGTTGGTGGCGCGATGTTCCTGGTGCAATGACTAGCACGATCAATCATCTGACGATTTTTCTGACTATGGGACTATAATTGTTTCGCTTCACGCCAACTGTCCATAAGCGTGTTGTTGATTTGAGCAACTTCTAGCTTTCACGTGAATGAGGCCAGGCATCATACCAGTACTTTTAAAACAACGCTTTTGACGCTATCGTTGGAAGCCACTCGTTAGCTGCTTGTGGGTCAGTTACCAGAGCCATTTGGCTCACACGCACGCAATAGTTTTTTTATGTTAAATACCTTAATAGCTAATAAAAGTTAAAGTTAAACGACTTAGCTTAATACAAACACTGAAAGTTTTTGACCTGCTTTCAATCTTGTTGATGTTGCACCCATTTCTCTTCGCATTCAGAAATGGTTGCAAGTTTCAAGTGATTTACAAGTGTTTTTCCTCTCACGAGGAAAAGGTGTCGGTCAGGTATGGAGCGCTTTTTTTAAAACGTTTTTCTGCATCATATAGAAACATTTCAAGGAGCCTAAAATTGAAAAGAATTTTTTCTGAGCGGCTCTGGTATGCTAAAAAGCATCTCTAAATCAGGGCTGTGATTCGATCTTTTCTGAAGACAAATTCTTGCTCTCTGATCTCGACATTCTTGAGCTTCTTTGCGGTGTGAACTTATTAGATGAAGATATAAGCTTTTTAAAACGGCATATCGACGCGTGTTAAGTATTGTCTATAGAGTTCATTTAAATAGAAATCGCTCTCCGCACTTCTTTGATCCCGGGAATTTCTCGCCCATTTTGTGATAATCCAGAGCCGCCAGCAAAAATCGTTATATTACAGCATGACTGAAGAGCCTGTATCCCTGGTTTTCACTATCCATTAAACACGGCGTGTTTAAAATTGAAAAGAGACTAAACGCAGAGCAGGGTAGTAATCACCTTGAGCTATGCCATGAGGTTCTTGCGCGCAGGCGCGTAAATCGCCTTTCCATTTAGCTCACATTAGCTATGCATTAGCCTCAGTTTATAAGGAGCTCTCCCTAGCGCCATGCATCAGCTCTACTCTCGGGCTCACAATTTTCAATCCGTACAGCTGTCCAGTCAGATCATGGGCTTACATATGTTATATATTTACCCAACAGATTACTCGACCACGGCTCTAAATTCCCGTTCGTTAGCCCTGTGGAGGCGAGACTTCAGAATTAACTGTTATGGTTAAGATACTACGCTGAGAAGGCCGATTGCTACTGTTTTTAGATGAGAGTGGAAAAAAAATTCCGTTCAACTTGTCTCAATTTGGAGTGCTGCGTTGCATCTTCGTATATACGTTCGACTTCTGTTCAGCTCTCTACCAAAGCTCATGGCGGGAGAGAAGGGGTTGCTCGAGGCCGTAGTCGGAATCAGTATGGAAGCTAGCGTTGTAAGCTATTATCTGTGGTCGCCGAATGGATCACGTGATAATTTAGGTTGGTATCAATAGTGATAAACCGAGCATGCAGCTAGGCCGCATTGCCAAGTAGCTTTCCTCGGTTAAAATTACGGGTGCACGAGCCGAGACTTTTGACACAATTGTATTTAGTTATTTATGCGCAACCCCAAACTCGCTCGCTCGTAGACCTCATCTACCTCAGATTCCCGAACCTCCTCGTTCATCTCGCTCCGCTTGGCAGCACACCATCCCAACTGGCTTGATCCACTCACTCACAATCAATAGATAACTGCCCTCATCATTCCGCCGCCCCTACTAATTTCCACCAAAAATCAAGAACGATTTTTGGTGTTTCGGCACGCGAATTATTCAATTTACATAACAAATCAATAATTTTTATTGCGATACATCGCTGACACTTTCCTGACCATTCACGTATACTGTAATAAAAGAAACTCAGAACTTGATAATGTACAATCAGAAGCCGAGACCACTACCCCGACCCGGCAAGGAAGTCCATTTCCCATAGTCTCGTCGAACAGTAGCCACTGATAGAGCGCTGCTGTTCGATCTGTGTTCGTTCAGTGGTGTTGTTCGCGTGAGGAACTTCCCGGTAAACTTTTCTTTCGCGAACATTCACCAATCCATTGGATCCTTTTTTGCAGAAACATTGAACATCAATCATTAGCCTTGATCAAAGGGCGAGAACAAAAGGTATCAGCAGACTGCAAAAGTTCACTTTTTCGAGGTTCCGTGAATCTCCTGATAAAGCACAGGTCGTTCATATTTGAACGCAGACGGAAAAAAAAGCTTTTTGGTCTTTCAACGTAGTGATAAGTATTGATAGGAACGTGTAGTGGTGCTTGATACATGAGTAGTACTGCGGAAGTGCGTCAACCGTTTGCAAGCGAGCTTTTTTCAAGCTAATAAAAGAAGAAGTACTGCTGAATTAGTGCCTGTTGCACTTTTGTAGCAGAAGAAGTGGAGCCAGTGACAAAAAGGGCTTATTGCATTGCTTGCCCTATCTTTGTAACTGTAAAGAGATCTATCGACTTGCAATACTTTTGAAAATTCATTACCAGAAAATCAAAGCAATCGATTTCGGAGTACGCCACGGATTCCTTTCCGTTAAGAAGATAACCTGTTTGATGGAATCCGCCGATGACTTTTCATTAGTCACTGGATTATTTCCAGCTTGATGATTATGAAATTCCCAGAACCTTCAAGATTGCAAAGATTCAAGGTGGAAGTGGTGTAGCGGCAAGTGAGGCCGCTTACCACATGCACGGTTAAGGCTTCAAATCGGATCCAATCCCGTTCAGGAGCTGCGTGCAGCAAGGCCCCTAAACAGGGTCTGTTCCAATGTTTGAGGCCCGTTAGGGGTCTGGATCTGGTCTCTGAACGGGCTTCAAACATTGGAACGAAGCCTCAGGGGTCAAATCCAGGTCGGGGTAGAAACCAGTGTTTTGGGCCGGAAATAGGTCCAACACACACGGTCTCTACACCGGTCGGTGACGCAGTCCTCATGGTCAAAATAGGAGGATGCTTCTTGGAATGTGAGTTTTGGGGACCCTTCCCCAGCCGGGCCTTGCTACACGACCTGCTAACGCACCGCGGTCCAGGCAACCGGAGCCTCCGTTCTCAGCGATTGGACAGTATTGTCTAAATACTCTGGCGGCGAACGTACACAATCATGACACCCTATCCGCCAATCCTGTATAGTATTTTATGAGTGTACGCCCTTTTAACGGGTTCTCAACATTGAAATGATTGTGAGTGGAACCAAGTGTGTCGCGTATCCCAAAAATAGCTTGATGTTGAATGCTTTTGCTCATTCATGAGAAATTCACGTGCCTTACGTGATCTTTCTCTGAGATTTCTCCTGTAGCTTTACATTTTTAAGCTCAGAAGCTTGAGAAAGCTAAAGACGATATGAGTTTTGAGAATATTAGCCATTGAAAACACTTTTGACATGGTTTGAAAATCTCAGAGTCCTTTGTTTAACAAATCACTGTACCTTGGCTCACCACACCGCAGTGATGTCGAACTTCCGTTTATATAATAATATATGTTAAAGAGAAAACTGCCGATGTTTGCGTTTAAGATTCACCCTCCATGAAAAACTCGAGACGAAGTACACTGCGTCCCATAATTATACGTCCACCTAAGAATTTCCCAAAATCTCACAGATATAGATGTTTTGAAAAAAGTCTTCAATGTAGCAATGTGTCATATATAAATGCGGGATCACCAATGAACATCAATTTTCTATTTGAGATCACAGGAATTTTTCCCAATAATTTTTGTGTAAAAGGCCACTCAGCCGACGTCCCAAAATTATACGTCCACCTCACGTTTATCGATTACTTTTCACTTCTGTTCCACGAAACTTTTTCATTGTGGTAACACTTCACTTCTTAAGGAACAGCATAATAAAGACTGCTGTTGGATTTTGAGAAAGGGAAAAATGTCGCAAAACTGTTGAACAACGCAATCGCACCAGATTTGGTCCAGATTCACGCCAAGCTTGAGAATTTTTCAGAGGTTTCACATGATATGGAGTTTAGAAGAGCTCTAAAAGTCTCTCATTACTTTTCGATGGAAACAAAGGCGTGTTACAGAAAAACATCCACTTTCATCCAACGGTGCTCTGTCATCGAATCTTCTTGAGAACTTTATGCCTCAACGGACTTTTGTTTCATGCATGTAAAGGAATCCCAAGATCATTCTTGATCGGAAAATGTGAAAGACGTTCATTTATGGCAAGGAATCGTGGCGAAAACTGGGCTGATTTTTGCATGAAGGTGCAGCCGAGCCGACAGGAGCAATCAGCACCACGACAGCGTATCATTCTACGACCACAAGACTCTCTCTCGCCGAAATCACTCGCTACTTGTTTTCTCTTCTCACGTCTACCTTTCCCTTAATGGCTTTTTTCTTAGTGGAAGCACTACTAAAAGAAAGAAAATGAAAAGAAAGACAGACAAACACTCATGCATAGCAAGGAGAAAGGGACCCTGCTCCAGTCGGCTCGGCTGCACCTTCATGCAAAAATCAGCCCAGTTTTCGTCACGATTCCTTGCCATAAATGAACGTCTTTCACATTTTCCGATCAAGAATGATCTTGGGATTCCTTTACATGCATGAAACAAAAGTCCGTTGAGGCATAAAGTTCTCAAGAAGATTCGATGACAGAGCACCGTTGGATGAAAGTGGATGTTTTTTCTGTAACACGGCCTTTGTTTCCATCGAAAAGTAATGAGAGACTTTTAGAGCTCTTCTAAACTCCATATCATGTGAAACCCCTGAAAAAATTCTCAAGCTTGGCGTGAATCTGGACCAAATCTGGTGCGATTGCGTTGTTCAACAGTTTTGCGACATTTTCCCTTTCTCAAAATCCAACAGCAGTCTTTATTATGCTGTTCTCTTAAGAAGTGAAGTGTTACCACAATGAAAAAGTTTCGTGGAACAGAAGTGAAAAGTAATCGATAAACGTGAGGTGGACGTATAATTTTGGGACGTCGGCTGAGTGGCCTTTTACACAAAAATTATTGGGAAAAATTCCTGTGATCTCAAATAGAAAATTGATGTTCATAGGCAATTGCGTATTTATATGCGATACATTGTCACATAGGAGACTTTTTTCGAAACATCTATATCTGTGAGATTTTGGGAAATTCTTAGGTGGACGTATAATTATGGGACGCAGTGTATTATCAAATTCAATGTGTGAAAAGGTCGCACTGTTAACGTCACTCCTAATAAGGCTCGAAGGAAGCCAATTGCGAGCCGAAACGTTGTGAGCCGAATAAAGTTATACAATCTCGGGCTAAACAGCACACACAGACTATATCTTCAATGTTCTTTCTTTTTCCTCTATCATCATCTACACACACGACAAGGGAGGTTTGTTTATTTCAGAGAAAATTTGTTTTTTGAATCTTCAACTGCCGCAATATACCGAGTATCCTCTAAGAATTAAACTTAAAAGGGCAGCAATCCCAGGGAAAATGAAAACTGCTTCACCTACTTGGCTCTCTTATAGGCATGACCTGTTTTGTCGGCCAGAGAATGTTTCCCGTGGTTTTGAAACGATACAATAAACCCGTCCAGACTTTGGCCATCGCGTGTCCAAAATCGATTTGTAGCTCAAAGCTGCCTGTAAAACCTCAACGGTTTCAAACGAATGTCGAATTCGTGGGTCCTTAGGGATCAGTCGGAGTGGTAAGCGCTTTCTAATGATGGCGGGTAGAATTCGGTGCCTGCTATTTCTGGATCATTTCAGAATCTCACGTATATTGGCTTTGTTCCACCTCTTGTCCTTTTACTGCACCTTCCTTTTATTACTGACTTGAAGAGGTCCTCACCTCGTTTTCTCTCCCATCTATATGGTGCCATGAGAGAGCTTGTGATAAACTGGCCATTGTCTTCACTGACAAGTGAGATTTAGTTTCCTTCATACACTTCAGACTGGTCAGCAAAACAGGTACAGGCCGGTGCGGCCTAGGGAGACGAAAGGACAGAATTGTGGACATCGTACTGCCTGAGCGGGCAGAAACGGCATTTCTTGTACCTCTTTGTGCCACTCGGAGACTTGTACGAAAATGCAGAATGACGCTTTTTATGCGCACCGTTTTCGTTCTGTTCACAGTTGGTTCTACACAAGCTATGCGGAAGTCACAAAACTGTCACGTATTACAGCATAAACTACTGAAGTAATTGCGTGGGACTGAAGCCTATTAACCTTCGACGCTACCTTGCGATGTTTCACGTGAAAGTGCCTCCGACCAATGTTCACATGCTCGCGTAGTGGACACTTGCAACGATTACAGTCGCCTCTGTCCTTGGGATGCGCCACGTGCACACACAAACAACCCCCGAGATAAGCACTCCCGCGTGGTCTATACAGTGTGGAATGCATAATCCGCACAGGCAATACACCGACGGAACTAGGGCCCAGAAAACAAAGATTTGAAGGCGGTATTCATTAAACAAAAGGAGAGCACTCGGTGTTTGAGTTAATTTTCGTTCGGGATGCGCCAGCGCTCTAAGCTGGCGCTCCAACTTGGGCAGAGCGCATTTGCTCAATTTGGCCTATATAAGACTTGCGAGTGCCGGCCGTATAATTCAGTTGTTTTCTTTGTATCCCAGACTAGTCTGAAACGATACAACGGAGGAATCTATAAGCTAGGCTGGACGCACCACGCCATCGAAACACAGGACTTTGAATCCCTGCCACTGCTAGAGACTTAGGTCAAAGGTTGAGTGCAGTCGCCACTAATTCCGGTTCTAACTCACTTTCGCCACTAATGAGAGATGGGATCAGCCAACATATTTGGCACCGCTACTCTTGTTATGACTCTACCTTCTATTGTTTCGCACATTTTTAGAAATCCTACAGAATTATGAAGAGCTGCACCGAAAGGAATGGGTAAGTCCAAAACAAACAAAGTAATAATGCAAAGTAAATTACTTCTGTCAGTCTCCATATAGAATCTTCCTAACTGATCCCAGAGAAAGGATTATACGCGAACCCAAGTCAGTGCTCCATCGAGCAAACTTGTATCTGCCAGACGCACAAATCAACATCGACTCCGTTACTCCTGAATGGAATAAAGTGAGTGCGCATCCTATCTCCCAAAAGACGATTGATTTTTCAATGTTATACGATTTCTTTCTCTGTAAATTCTCTCTCAGTCCAGCACTTGGAAAAGTGAAGTGAAAGCGATGGGCTCAAACTCGTCATCAACTTCAACTTTTGCAAAGGGTACACTGCCTTCTCCGCGGGTATGGGTACCGGTGATGAAGTGTTGCGTTTCTTGTTCCGGAACTGTTGTTTTCGTGCCAGATGTCGTACTGTTCCTGGTGTACATGATTTATGCTCAAAAATTAATTTTGCATAACGCCCTACCACAAATCCACTTGAACTCTACCTACGGTAGGAAAAAACCGATCGCCCTGAAGATCAGGCCACATTAATCTTTTCCAAATGATATATGTTGCTAAGAAGGAAGTTCCTGTTCTTAAACAGATATTGATGTTGAGATAACTACACACACATGGACCAAGTGACATTACTGGTTGCATTGGTCTGTTTGGTTGCACCTTGTGCCACAAGTTGAAAACTAAAGCATATAAAGCGACTCTTTCGCTTTTGACATTTCCTTTTGTGAGATGCGCCATGCTTTTGGGTTTGATTAAGAATCGTTGAGGCATTTGAATGCTATGATCAATATAATGGTTTCTGGGGCGAACGATGAATGAGTGCTGTGTTTGCAACATTTTTCAAAACCATGTAGCACAAACCACTCTAGCCATTTTACGTCTCGCCACCTAGAGCCTTCCTCTATTACACAGATGGGGGCTTTTTTCAGGAAGCTGCAGCTTTTTTCGTACACACCAGGATAGCCTTACTTCACATCGCCAGCCGACCTCCTCCGGAGACATGCCTTTCTCCGCGAGCATAGGGACCATAACATGATTATGACCAACTGATTTCGCATGAAGATCGCACTGGCTCAAAATCCTGCCTGCTAGGGCTGAAGGTCTTGCATACAATGGAGCACCGGCGTTCAACACTGTTGCCATTAGTAAACCCTTAATTCGGATTTATGGCGCACACGTTTATATGTTGACGAGCAACTCAGCGTTCGCTCGAACGTCTGAAGTTGAAGCTCACTTAGCATACAACATCATCTCGAATGCCCGAAACGCATATCTACGTGGATGGCGCCAAAGATTTTCACCCTGATTCTTTCGCCCTTCTCATTGTCGGATTCCAGCTTACGAGAGCAGGGTCAACCGTCCGTTGGACAAAGTCCAACGCGACGACGAGAGTAATGCCGAGAGTGAACGTACGCACGGAGACACAGACGGCTCGCGGGTGGCGAGAGTGAATGCCGGCGCGGAGAGCGGTGAACATCGGTCCAACGT